ATAATGATCAGCTTTATACCTGGTTTTAAAGTTCCTGGGCATCAGCACAAAACCCCTTCTGTGGATACACCACCATCAATTCAGACAAACTCACACACCCTGCACACAATATGGCCAAATAGATGTACACTCCCCTCCAAATTAGTAAGGTCAGGTGTTTCCAGTAAAGGGTAATGTTAAAGTGATTGTAAACCCTCATCTTTTAAAACAACCTATTCAGTTTAAAATAGAAATGAACAGCAAAACGTGTGTATAGTTAATAAAACATTATATACACCCCCCCCCCCCTTTTTTATAAGTGATCACATTCCCTCTGTTCTCAGCTGCATAATTGCTAAGGTAGGAGAAACAGCAGCACACTGATCTTCCCAGTGACTGTCTGACAGGTGGAGTGCATCAGGACAAGTTTGATCATTGGAGATGAGCAGGCCGCGTTCCCAACACAGCTAGAGAACTGAACACTCTGTGCTCTCATGCCTAGTGTAGTGAGTTTTTAATAGGAAAGAAGAGGGACTGGCAGGAACACCAGGGATTTCACACAAAGGAAGCAATACAAAGAACAGGATACTTTTTCATACAAGTATATGGTATAGCAGGCATATATCAGGAATAAGAAATGCTGGGTTTACATTTACTTTAATGCTACAGCATTACCGATAGATACGGTTTAATTAATTTTCTGTGGAGAAACTCAAAGGGTCTGACACAGAACTCTGACTTCCACCCCAATGAATGCTACTTGGATAAACTGGAATGTCAGTTGTGAACCAGGCCTTCTCATCCCACATCAGTATCTGAAATCGCAAATGCTTTTTTTTTTTTTTTTTTTGCTGAAAGGGCGCAAATTCCTGTAGACCCAATAATTAGGCCAATTATTTTAAAATGGGATGTCCATGAAGATCATACAGGTGTAATGGCCAGGCATCCTTAAACTTATGGTCATATAGCGTATCATGTAGTCCCAGAACATATTTTGTGAATGCAGAAGTGTCAAGCAGTGCCTCCAGTATATGCATTTTTTTTTTATCAAATCCAAATTAAATTGCTCATTTACAACTATAAAAGCGTAGAAAATGTAACTTAAGTTGCATCTAAACAGATAAAGAATTATATATAAAACATATTTATATACCCTAGTTATTGCAGTTTATGTTTGTAATTTGACATTTTGCTTGTTTATTTGGTGCTTATTGGAGATTTACCGTTTCCTCCTAATGCTTAAAAATGTTATCAACTACCATACTACCTATATACAACATGCTGACATCAGCTAGGATTCAGCTAAGCTGGAGGAGAGTTGTTATTTTTAAGTTGCAGGGTGAGCTCATACGGCTGGAAATCTATTTATGCCAAATTAGATATATATCTCATCAATAAATAAAATCATCAATAAGTTAAATATCCTTCAGTCTAGCCTCTGGATATTTACATGCCTGAAGCAGTGTACTGTGTCTGCATTCTGCAATACTAACGTTCAAAATATAAAGTATGTAAAACTACTTTGCTAGAGGATATGATGGTTTGAAAATAGCAAGGTGGTTAAACTTTTTACAAAATCTTCTAGAACGTCTATTAAATTATAATCACCATTTCACATTTTGTTAAAAGACTGATGTGATTTTTAATTATTATGTCATTGCCTCTGGCTGAGTCCAGGAGCCTTGCCAAGGTTATAAGCTTGGAGAGACACTGCATCCCAAAACAGTTACTCAAGCAATTTTGGTATCAGCACAAAACTATTCAGAAATCAGCAACCAGGCCATTATGTTTTCTAAAAAGCAGCCCAAGGGGATTAATTAAAGCAGAACAACAACATGTCCTGAAACGGTTAATCCGTTCTTAGGTGACCAATTAAACACTTGCTTGTATGTGAAAAAGTATAATGTGGTCTTTGGAAATGAACATAGGAAATGTCAATTAAAGTCTTCTTCTATAAGCAAAGATATGCACAATTACAGCTCATGGCTACATTCAAACAATGCAAATAGCCACATCATGTGACTGCAATAGCTATGGGCTCAGTGCTGCTTGCAAGTGCAGGAGACATGGTCCAAGCTATAGCACCCAGCCATTGCTGGTGACATAGCTGTTGGCTGCAAAGCTATATGGGAAACAACGTCAAATGGTCCTTTGCCGCATGCCCACTGCACACCTAGTTTAGCCAGAAGAGGCCGACTGACTGTATTGAAACGTTTAACAGCGATACGTCAGACAACAGCCATTGTCAAGCAGGAGGTATATCAGTCTATTGTGCCACAGGCTGACAAAGGGTTTGCAGGCATGCTGTACATTGGCACAGCATCCTCTTGTTCCCAGTGTGGGGGAGACCACGCAGGCTGACAATGCTGCCAGGGGAGTTTCAGACCCTGAACCTTGACACAGAAAGTGTTGCTAAGAAGATGATACTGGCAGAATCATCAAATATTTAATAGCTACTTACAATGACAGCAATCAAAAGGCTTAAAATCAGATATATAAATGTCATTAAGGAAAGTTATAAAGCTTTTCATATTTTTTTAGGCTCAGATACACTGTGAAGTGTATCTAAAACAAAAATGTAATACATCACAGCGTACCAGTTCTTATATTTGGTGGATTCATTTTTTTCTGGCTTTTCTCGCTTTATTTTCACCTGCTAATCTTGTGAACAACGCATTTCTGGTCCTTCATAGCTATACTCACTCCTCCACTGTATCTATCGAATGAGCCATGGCTGTCACCCACGCTAGACTTCAAACATATCTGCCTTTGTGCATCTTCATTACCTGAAAGCTGATGGAACTAGCACTTTACAAAAGAAAGATAAGATTGTTTGTGCTTTCTGTTTTGCTCATAGGATGTGACAAGGACACTGCATTTCTGGCAAGATCAAAAGGTATTTTCTATACTTAAAAATGCTTCTAACCTGAAAAAAGAAAACTAATGCAGTCATCACATCTACAAACTTGTAAGCTCCAATATATTAACTTTTGTTCTTGGGTTTAGTTATCCTTTAAAGTAGAGGGTTTTGGTTACCTCTGATGTTGCTCCCAAAAGCCTGTCAACAGTTACTTGGTATTTAAAGTCGAGCAGAGAATATCTAAAATTCTATGAAATGATTAAACAATAAGAATACCTAAAGTGGAGCACATGTTACTTTTATATACAGATCATTACCACATTCAAAAAGTTGATTAACTGCTGACAAAGGCTGGGAATCTCTATAACACATGAAATGTACAGCACTAACATGCTACTGCAATGCTGTGAAGAATGAATGCTTGTACCATAGATCCAAAAGATATGAACAGGTCAGTCCTGAGTCTCATTACTTCAATATGATTTAAACTTGCATAGGGAAAACACCCAGAATAGTAAAAAACTAAATTTGATGGTTGTTACTAAACATATATAGAGTTCTCATTTGAAATGGTAATTTGGACACTGGGCCCTGTCCCCTATTTAAACACTTTTAAAATGAACAGGAAATCATTATCATGGTCCAGCCAAACAGAAATGTGCCAGCTCGGCCTTCAGTTTTTGAAATGTGTAAGCTAGCTATGTGCAGAACCTCAGGTCATCATGACATATTTGGGTTGATTTAGTGAAGGCAAATAATCTGTTTATTAAGCTCTGCTGACTTTCTTTCTCCAAACATATGCAAACAAAAATACTGTGCATTTTATTTTCCTTACACATGATTGTGTATTTTTTGCAAAGTGACTTGTTACCACATTCACCAAGCCTTCCAAAGTGAAAATGACCATGCAAAGTGAACAGCCTATTTGCCTCTAATAAATCAACCATATTTTCTCATTGGAAAATTTAGGTCATGTCAGATGATAGACCTGGAATATGCTAAACAAAAAGGTTGCATATTAACTCACTATGAGGGCCAGTTCACACCACAAAGATGCATCTTTGCTTACAGTTCACACCACACTCTGTTCCGGTGCATTTTGTATGCACTTTACTGTGCTCCAGTTCAATTCTGTGCAGAAAAAATGCAGCATGTTCTACTTTTTCTTCTTCACCAAAAAACTGACTGAAACTGACTGCACTGGTGTTAACTAGGGCCATTGGAACACATGGAAAGCACTGTGCATGCATTTTTTAAACAGAACAAAGACACGCTGGACTGCATCTGGTGTGAACCAGCCCTAAGAGAATTTAATCTTCAAGATTTAAAACAAGAAAATGGCAAAAAATATTTTCTGTGGTCAAAAAAATAAATGTCCCTGTTGGCCTACCTACCTTAACCCTTATACCAAGATATTGGTATCTACAACTGTATTTTAACAAGACACAGTAGAACCTTTTTTATAAAATGCCAAATATTAATTTCATTGCAAGAAAAATAAAACATCCCATTTAGTGCTACACGAGTAATCTTTGGCGTTTATAACAGACAGGCCATTGAAACATCCACATGGATATTGTAATATCTTTGTGGTAAAGCCTCCTGAGCAGGTATCAGTGCATGAGAGTGCAAATGTTCCCCTGTACAGATAATGTATTTCAGTTTTGTGCCACTCCACTACAGTTGGTACTGGGATTCATCAGTCAAAAAAAAATAAATCAACTTATTTATCCACATACTTTCCCAAGAAATATCCTGTGTGGCCATTGACCTTTGCACCAGATAAAGACAACAGACTGTGCATCTGATCCCAATAAATGCATTGTCATGTTTTTTTGTTGTACTCTGGACTAATGACACACCATTCTGGCAGAAGCATACTCCTATATGGAGGATATTTTGCTGAGGTGTCTTTTGTGAACACTTTGTAATATCTGTCAAGCCTACATGTTGATTTACTACACACACACACAAAATGTATGCAAACACACCCCTTTTAAACTAACCACACATTGCCAAAAGGATACATTAAATTCACAGTTGCTGGAAACTAAAATATCATTACTACCATAAAACAATTTTTGGCTTGATGTGTGATAGCGATCCAAGAAAAAAAAAAAAACCACAAGGCCAAATGGAAAAAAAAAAAAAAAGATATTACCTGCTAAAACCTGAGGTAGTGATAAAGCCTCTGTTTCCAGTCCAAGATAAATTGAGCCACTGCACTAGTGTACATCGTGGCAATAAGTACTCCAAAGAAGCATCATTCAAACTGGCCCAATAAGGCTGTAAACTTAGGTGAGTGTATTGAAGAGGATCACAGCAGTGCTGATAAAGTAGTTTGCATGTCTGCGCCAGGCGACACAGGTCTGGGAGTGCTAAGTGGCTAATGATCAGTTGTATTAGCTGCAAGATAAAATATATATAAACACATTAGAAAAATTAGCGGTCATGCAATTCATTTATGCACAATTCTACACTACCACAGGAAATTCTCTATTACGATCAATGTCCTATTGTAAAACAGAGAGGAGTCTCCCTACTTAATTTCCTTTCACTGTATGACACTCGACAAATTTAATGCTAAGGGAATGTAGCACTCAAGAATTTAACAAAAAATGCAATAAAAAGTTGTATGTATTGCTAGGATAGACACAAATGTTCAGATTTTGTCTAATCAGCAACATTTTCCAACAGCGTAATTACAGGACCTAACAACTAACTGATATAAATTGACCCAGCAAAGGTGTGTCTATCAACAGGGTGGAATTCCAAAATCCTAAGTTAACTTCTGTCTGCTAATGAGTCAATACTATAATTATCAGTAGTATGGTAGTATACAGTACAGCATACAGATCAGCGCACCATGGAGTATATACAATGCACAGCATGCAGCGTGCAGTGGCCTGCACTACATATTTGGCATAGTGCATCAGGTGTAGCCAGTGTAATACACTGGCTGGAATGGAAGACACAAAACTCTGGTTACAGAGCAAACTCAAACACATTAAACTAGAGAGCAATTTATTCTACCCAGGATCACTAGCTACCAGCTCCAGGTGATTTGCACTAGTATCTTTTGGCATAGATCCTGTGATTCAGTGACGTGCCCTGTGCAGATTTATTAGAAGTATGATGCAGATGGGTTATTTTAATGTTAAGAATTAGTTTAGGCATTAGGTAAATCGGTAAAAGGGCTAGAATTTAGTGGATTAGGTTTCAGCTCTAGGAAGTGGTCAACAGTTAGGGCTTGTTCCCACAATGTCCGTTGAGCTGTATACAGGGCACACAGAAAATAACTGTACATACATGTGTGATGGTGCACAAAGAATGCAGCTCAGGGGACATGGTGTGAATAAATACTTTCATTGCCAGGTCCATACGGCGCATGGACCTACAGCACTGCTTCCAGCTGGCCAGGTCAGTATGTGTATGGACCAGATTCCTCCTTCTGTTATAAGCTCATGGTCACTCCAGTGGGGGATTACCAGCCCCCTCCCTTTCCTTCAATGGATACAGGCAGTGATCACTACTGATTGCTCCTGTATCCATTAATAAAGTGTCAGGTTATGAATGAAAAGGAGTCTCTATACAGACTACTCATTCATTCATGTAATGTGCAGATTAGACTGCAGAGAAAGGGACTTTAGTCTCTTTCTCTGTCTCAAAAAAAAAAAAAAAGAAAGACATCTGATATCTCAAAAGTACAAAGTATTAAAAAATAAAATTGTAAATAAATACATTTTTTTTTTTCTAAAGAAAACATAGTAAACACAGGGCATACATAGTATCAGGGGTGTATCTGCCACAAGGCAAACAAGGCATTTGCTTTATGCAGCATTTTTCAGGGGGTCGGTGCCACCCCCTGGAAGAAGGGACGCTGGTTGTCCTGCGTCCTGCCGAGGAGGCTATGAGGGGTACTGGGGCTGGGCGGCAGGCACCAGTGGAATAGGGGAGTGAGGGGAACACCCGTAAGACTCCGCAAAGGGAGCCAGAATTCCAAAGAGCTGTGATGTTGAGTCTCTCTCCTTCTCTACCGGGGGGGGGGGAACGTGGTATGTGGGGGGGTTGCGGGGGCAAGTCGCAGGTTGCAGGTGGTGGGCAGCGGGGATGGAAGCGGCAGATTTTTTGTGTTGCCTAGGGCAGCAGAAAATCTAAATACACCACTGCACAGTGTATGCCCTTGCAAGGCCATGTTTACCTGCACAGGGATGTACAGGAGTTCCGAGCATCCCCTTGCAGGCAGTTCCATTGAGGTCATTTGGGATGTAGCACCTGCACAAACACAGCTGTCGCTTCCAATATGACATCCATGTGGGTCCAGGTGCGCATCCCTGAGCTCACACTGTCTGCATTTGGGGTCGTGTACCCACACCCATGTCAGATTGGGAACAGCGGCTATGCCCATGCAGCTGTTGCATCCCAATTGACATGAATGGGACTGCATGCACGGGGATACACAGAACACCTGGGCATTCCCATAAGGGTAAACACAGCCCTCCATGGGCATAGATTTTAGTACACCCATGTTAACAGGGCCTTAGTAGTAATTTAGCAGGAATTTTAAAAAGTTAGCTTGTGTTTGTGTGCACCAATAATAACAATTTTAGTGTACTTTTAGTGAAAATAGTAATTTGATGAACATTTGCACAACTACTGTGGGGCCTAAAAAAATCAGTGGCACATTTTTTTATTCTACATGTCATGTGCTTTTAGAAAATGTGTGGTTTGGGGGGTCCTTTCATATTCTGAAAGCTGTAAGTGAAAAATGTAAACCTCCAGATTTTGAGACTAAATTGTTTTTAATTACAGTTTTGCACACAGTTTTTCATTTCACAAAGGGCGCAATTTAAAATATACAAATATTTATTTATTAACTCGATACAGTTATAGCTTCTATATTTAGAAGGAATTTAGCAGGAATTTTGCAAAATTTTCCATGTATGTATCCACAATAATTATTTTAGTGTATTTTAAGTGAAAATAGTGATTTGATGAACATTTGCGCAACTATTGTGGGGCCTAAAAAAAATCAGTAGCACATTTTTTTTTTTATTTTATAGGTCATCTGCTTTCAGAAAATATATGGTTTTGGGGGCCTTTTACAAACCCTGAAAGTTGTACGTGAAAAATAGCCTCTAGATTTGTAGAGTAAATTGTTTTTCTTTACAGTTTTGCATACCTTCCTTTTTTCCGATTTCACAAAAAGGGACATTTGTAAATTATTAACTCAATACAGTTTTTATACTTAGCAGGAATTTAATAAATTTTGCCATGTATGTATCCACGAACAATGATTTTAGTGTATTGTTAGCGAAAATATTGTTTGATAAACATCTGCACAAATATCACAGGGTCTAAAAAAATCAGTACCACCTTGTTTTTATTCTACTGGTCCCATGCTTAAATATATTGCTTAAATATATTGTTTGGGGCATATTTCACAAACTCTGAAAGCTGTAAGTGAAAAATGAAAACCTTCAGATTTTTTGAGAAACTTGGATATGTACATTTTTTCATATGTTAAATTTTCACCATTCGCAAAAAGGCGCAATTTAAAATGTACAAGTATCTGTTATTTATTAACTTAATACAGGTTAAACTTTTATATTTAGCAGGAATTTTGTAAAATTTGCTGTGTTTTTATCTGCTAGTAATGATTTTAGTGTATTTTCAGCAGAAATATTGCTTTGATAAACATTAGCGCAAATATTGAGGAGCCTTAAAAATCAGTAACTCCTTTTTATTCTACTAGTCACATGCTTTCAGAAAATATATTGTCTGGGGTTCTTTTACAAACTTTGAAAGCTGAAAGGGAAAAATAACAAAGCAATGGGAAAATTGCAAAAATGGTCCGGCCAGCTGGGTTTGAAAGAGCACAGGGCCTGGCAGCGAAAAGGTTAAAGTTATATGCTTTTTCTTTTCGCTAAAATGGGCCTACACCCTCTCCTAAAACTTGCTATTGGTCAACCCATCCCACCTTTACAGATTTAGATACGTATGAGGGGGTCGAACCCTGATGGGTGTCTCCAGTCCCTCAGTCACATTTTTTTACAATCATATCGGATATATGGCATGCTCTTCTTAAGCACAACCTCTACTTCTCTTTACACCAGCAGCTGTTCACTTGGAAACAGGGGCGGACTGACAACTCATGGGGCCCCCGGGCAATAGGGGATCATGGGGCCCCTGTGTCCTTGCTAAACTCAAAAAAGCCTATGAAAAAGGTACCAAGGGCATCTCATTGGGCCCCCTACTGACCCCAGGTCCTCGGGCAGTGCCTGAGTTTCCAAGTGGTCAGTCCGCCCCTGCTTGGGAACCCAACAGCTGTCGGGCATTGTATGTAAACCAACACAGCAGGAACGCACAGTAAGGAGCCAGTCAGGACTGGTAACCACATGCATGGGGGAATCTTCCAATGAGAAGCACAGCAGTAATCCAGCAGGAGAGGTAAGTGTGCCCCAAGCTGAAATGCTTTTTACCCCCAATTTAAACATAAATTACTGTGTTTGCTATACTGGCCTCACAAACTAATCTGTGACAGGTTTTCCCAATGTACCCAGAGAAGGTTTCGTCTGACTGTGTCTAGCCATCAAAGCAGGCTGTGATTGTGATGTATGGAGCAGCTAATAAAAGGCTGGAGAAGACTTTCGACTAACTGTGACCATCTTTATACAGGGTTCGGAATTATTTAGAAAATAATAGTAGTAGTAAGCGAGGAGAATGTATTATCCCTGCGCAGTAGCTGGATTCTCAGTTTCCTGAACTAATGCACTGTGCTTTCCTAGTATTTGGAGACGTACAGAAAATTGGCTAAAACTAAGTATATCTGAGAGGGATACACCAATTCTTGAGTAAATAGTGATTTTATGATTGACAGCATAGTGTAACGTATGAGTGATGTCTGAACCACAGGGTGCTGTTTTTAAGAACAATGTCATTTTTATGGGTTAATCCATGTGTTGATGCTATTATACTTGTTTTACTTGTTTATCATTTGTATCATTTTTGAGTAAAGGAGACTTTTAAAACCATACTTGGTCTTAGGTTAAATGCCTGCTAGCCTCTGGTATTTGTTTAATCAGGCTTTATTTATCCATACCCCTTTAACCTCCCCAACTGGCACAATCTGGCCACACCCACCATTCTAACTAACATGATACATCATTGCTCTTGTTAGAGTGCCCAAGGTCTTTTACAATCCTTGCAACACCAGAGTTCTCCATCTTCTCTGCCATGTAGCCATGTCTAGTAAGAATTGCAGGTTCCACCCCAATATGGCACTGCTGGAGCCAGTCACACATGTGCACCAATAGTCTCAGGACAGCTTTCCTAAGCATTGCACAGCCATATTAACTTTTTATGAATTTGTGGTTGTGGCTACAAATGTATGGATAGAGTTAAAA